ACTGATGCTGAGTGAAGTGAGCAGAACCAGGAGAATGTTGTACACAGTAACAGCCACGTTGTACGATGACTAATGCTGATAGATAGATTTAACCCTTCTCAGCAGTACAAGGGTCTAAGATATCTCCAAAGGCCTCATGATGGAAAATGCTATCCACATCCAAAGAAAGAACTATGGAGTTTGAATGCAGATCGAATGCTATTTTTTTTTCTTCTGTTTCATTTTGTTTCCTCTTTCTGATGGTTCCTCCTATTGGTTCTAATTCTTACTTGTAACATCACTAATGTGAAAATATGTTTAATAGGAATGTATATGTATAGCCTGTATCAGATTGTGCACCATCTTGGAGAGGGAGGTAGGGAGGGAGGAGGAGAAAATTTAAAACTCAAAAGCTTATGGAAATGATTGTTGACAAATCAAAATAAATTAATAAAAAAAAACCCAATGATATTCCATTACAATCACATACCACAGCTTGTTCTGCCATTCTCCAACTGATGGATGTCCCTTCAATATCCAATTCTTGACCACCACAAAAAGAACTGCTATAAATATTTTTGTATAAATAGGTCTCCCCCCACCCCTTTTTTTTTTATGTCTTTGAGATATAGACCTAGCAGTGGTATTGCTGGATCAAAGAGTATGCTCAGTTTTATAACCCTTTGGGCATAGTTCCAAATTGCTCTCCAGAATGGTTGGATTAGTTCACAACTCCACCAACATGCATGCATATGTATTCCCACAATGATAACATTTTCCTATTTTGTCATATTGGCCAATCTGATAGGTGTGAAGTAGTACCTCAGAGTTGTTTTAATTTGTATTTCTCTAATCAATAGTGATTTAGAGCATTTTTTCATATGACTATGGATAGCTTTGATTTCTTCATCTGAAAACTGCCTGTTCATATCCTTTGACCATATATCAATTGGGGAATGACTTGTATTCTTATAATTTGACTCAGTTCTCTATATAGTAGAGAAAGGAGGCCTTTATCAGAGATACTTGTTGCAAAAAAAATTTTCCCCATTTTTCTGTTTTCCTTATAATTTTTGTTGCATTGGTCTTGTTTGTGCAAAAACTTTTTAATTTTATATAATCAAAATTATCTATTTTACATTTTGTAATGTTCTCTATATCTTCTTGGGTTCTAAATTTTTATATCAGCCTTGCATTCCTGGTATAAATCACACCTGGTCATAGTGTATGAACGTTGTGATATATTGTTATCTCTTTGCTAGTATTTTATTTAAACTTTTGCATTAGGGAAATTGGTCTATAATTTTCTTCTTTTGTTTTGGCTCTTCCTGGTCAGTACCACATTGGTGTTGTTAAAGGAACTTGGTGGTACTCCTTCACTTATTTTTTTTTTTTCAAATAGTTCTTCAGCATTGGGATTAATTGCTCTTTAAATGTCTGGTAGAATTCACTTGTGAATCTATCTGGCCCTGGGGATTTTTTCTAAGGGAACTCATTGATGGCTTGTTCAATTTCTTTTTCTAACATTGGGTTATTTAAGCATTTTATTTCTTCCGTTATTCTGGGCAATTTATATTTTTGTAGATACTCATCCAATTCATTTAGACTGTCAAAATTATTGGCATATAATTGGGCAAAATAGCTCACTTTATTTCATCTTAATTTCCTCTTTGTTGGTGGAGCCTATTTTGGTATGTGGCATAAAATACTGGTCTCAACTTGTTTTCCACCAAACTGCCTCTTAATTTTCCTGACAGTTCTTGTTAAAGAGGGTCACGTTCCCTCTAGTAGTTGTATTTTTGGGTTTATTGAGCACTGGATTACTGTGTTCATTTGCTTCTAGGTACTGCTATTGAGTCTGTTCCATGGATCTACTTTTCTTTTTAAATTTATTTTATTTTGAAAAAAAATATTTTATTTTGTTAATTTCCCAATGACATGTAAAACAATTTTTAACATTTAAAAAAATTGAGTTCCAAAATTTCTCCCTCTCTTGCCCCTCCCCACTCCTTGAGAAGGCAATTTGATATTGATTATATATGTAGTCTTGCAAAACATATTTCTGTATTAGCCATGTTGTAAAAGAAGACATAAAAAAAGTTGGTTTTTTTAAAGTATGTTTCAGGGGGCAGCTAGGTGGTGCAGTGGATAGAGCACCGGCCCTGAAGTCAGGAGGACCTGAGTTCAAATCCAACCACAGACCAATCACTTGACACTTACTAGCTGCGTGACCTTGGGCAAGTCACTTAACCCCAACTGCCTAAAAAAAAACAAAGCATGTTTCAGGGGCAGTTAGGTGGCACAGTGGGTAGAGCACTGGCCCTGGAGTCAGGAGGACCCGAGTTCAAATCTGGCCTCAGACACTTAACACTTAAGAGCTGTGTGACCTTGGGCAAGTCACTTAACCCCATTGCCTAGCCCCCCTCAAAAAAAAAATAAATGTTTCAGGGGCAGCTAGACGGCACAGTGGATAAAGCTCTGGCCTTGGAGTCAAGGGGACCCGAGTTCAAATTTGGCCTCAGACACTTGACTTACTAGCTGTGTGACCCTGGGCAAGTCTGTTTCAATATGCATCCAGGGTTTATCAGTTCTCTCTCTGAAGGTGGATAGCATTTTTCATCACATGTCTTTTGGAGTTGTCTCAGGTCATTGTCTTGATCAGAGCAGCCAAGTCTTTCACAGTTGATCCATGGATCTACTTTTCTATCTTTTAAATGATACTACACAGCTTTGATAATTGCTACTTTATAATCAAATCTGACCATTTTGGGTCTCCATAATTCCTTTCTTAAAAAAAATATTTTTTCTCTTGAAACTCTTGACATTTTTCTCCTCCAACTGACATTTATCGTCTCTTTCTATAAAATGACCTCTTTGTAAGTTTGATTCCTCCTACCCCATCACGCACATTTCAGTCAGACGAATCAATCACCATTAAGCACTGGGCACTCTGAAAACACTGTTGCTGTTTTCTTGTCCGAATCCTGCCCTTCCTCTAAAACCCAGCTCAGCAGTAGTACAATAGCCGGGATGGATGCCTACCTCTGTTGGAAATAAGGTGGGCTCACTGACTAGAGCCGGGGCCCAGGGGGAGGGAGTCTCGCTGGTTCAGGAGGACAGCATGATCTGCAGTGCATGTTAGAAGTTGAGATAGGGGAAACACAGGGACAACAGAAGTTAAACAAAAGTAGTTGTGGGGACTTCCTGTGTAGGATAAAGGAGAAGGGGGAGACGCACAGCAGTAACAGGACTCAGGACATAAATTAGTAATTAGTCCTTAATACTAAGAGATTGACAGGTGGCCTCAAACCACCCTTTTATGACAATGGCCTGAAGAAGTCTAGTGAGAGGGGGCCCACTCCCTCCCTTGCTTTGGGACAGTTCTGGTCAGGAAGTTTTCTTCACAGGGAATTTAAATCTGCCCCTATAAATTCCACTCCTTCCTCCTAGCTCTTCCCTTGGGGCCCAAGCAAAACAAATCTCTTCAACACAACAGCACTTCAAATGCTTGGAAGTGAGTCATTTGTTTTTACCAATTAGCCTTATTATGAAAATAAATTCTATGGGAGTTATAAGAATTCATGGCCCTAAGTTAAGAATTCCTAGACGTGGCTACACAGCATAAGATTATATTTATTCAAGGTTATCAGGGTTTAACTTAGGGTTACGAAGTGCTTTATGTACAATCTCATTTGATAGAGGCAGCTAGATGGTGTAGTGGATAGAGTACTGTTCTGAGTCAGGAAGACCCGAGTTTGAAAGCTGCCTCACCCACTTACATCTGTGTACCCCTGGACAAACCCCCTCTCTGAGCTCAGCTTTCTCCTCTGTAAGACGAGAGGGGTCAGACTCAACGATCTCTTGGGATTCTTTCAGCTCTACATCTGTGATCCTCACTTTCACCTGTGAAGGAGTTACCATTTGAGACTCAGAGGTTAAATGACTCGCCCGTTTCTCATTTGTAAAGTATTTTAAAGCTTACAAGCAGTTTTCAAAGGAGAAAGTATGGCTTATCAAAAATTACCTTCGCAGGAAAAGAGAATGACCTTGAGTGGAGTCAGCCTCCACCCAGAAATCTCACAGCCTCCTTCCTCATCACGGGAGGAACTTAGTAGGAGCTCATAATCTCTCGGATTAGGCTTGGGTTGGTTCTGTTTCCAAATCATTTGGAAACGAACAGGCAGCACACATAGTCAAGGATTCGTTACGGGTGCAAATACCTCAGGGATCAGTGTTATTGACCATAACTATCTAATTATTATATGACTACAGAGGGTAGGGTCAGAGAGCTCAGAGCTGAAAGGGGCATCAGAAATCATCTACCCCAACCCCCTCACTTAACAGAGGAAGAAGCTCAGGCCCAGACTGGGAAGGGTCTTAGAGTGGGATCTAAAGTGAGGTGGCTTCGGGTTCTCGAACCCTGGCTCTGCCACTCAATTCCCTAACCTTGGTTACCTCAGGAAAGTCACTTTAGCTCCTCTGGGTCTCAGTTTCCTCATCTATAAAATGATACTGGGATAGGCAGCCTTTAAGGCCCCCTTTCTGCTCAGCCTAGGATACTGGGACTCCAACTCTCATTCCCTTATGCTGTGTGTGTGAAGAAACTTAAGACAGGTGTAAACACTTGGCACATGCTGCGTCTGGCCCTGTCAAGGCAGCAGCCTCTTGGGTCTGTGTTCAGAACAATCATAGTAAACTGCTCCTGAGAACTCCTTTTACTCTGAAAAACATCAAGACCCCTCAGAAGGGGGAGATCAGTGAGATCCTCTGCCTTGGAGAAATCCCAAGGTTTCTGGTCACAGAAAAACTGCAGTTTGTTGGTTACTTAAGGTGGAATGTTTTGATCTCCTGAGACCCCCAAAAGCCCAATCTAGACTACCTGGGCCTCCACTGGACACATTTTATTAAGAAGCTTTGCCCTCAATACATGCTGGCACAGTTTGTGTGCTCAGCTATCCTTCTAATCAGAGCAATTCTCCAGGTTTCACAATGACTTTAAACAGATGAAATACAAGCCCAAAGTGTTTCCCAACAGCTTTTTATTTCAGTTTCCAATATTCTCGGCAATGATATAGGGCCAATTCAGGAAAATCTATCATCTTAAATACAACAGAGAGAGAACTCATTATCAAGCTTAGGTCTTGGTACCCCAACAACACAAAAAAGGGAAAAAAGTTAGCAGCAATAAAATAAAGTGCACTTTCCCAAACTTCTTTTACTAAAAGGTCTTTCCTCATTGTCACAAATTAAATTTTACCCATTTATCACAAAAGAACCTCAAAATTCCCATTGCTCCCCATTTATATTCAAGACATTAAGAGATGTTTTCTTTTTAAAATTTAGATTAAAAAAACCCCCCACAAATACGACAAAATTCATTGGCAACTGTGCTTTGTTACAGTGATTTTAAATCAACCTTTGAGGCTACCACCAGTCAATCCTCGCAAAACATTAAAAATATCCTCTCACCATTTTCCTACGTCAGCAAAGACCTTACTACATGCCCTTCTGTTCCTATGCCACTGGGATCTGGGACAGATAGGTACATGAATGCCATCCAAGTCCCTGCCCAACAGCACTATCTGGAGCGAGTTCCCTTCACCCCTACCGTGGCTCCAGCTCAGTCACCAACCACTGAAGACTCAATAGTGGAACCTTAGCTACGGAAGGGTCAGTCTGCACTCAAATTGCTTTACAACATTCCTGCCTGCTTACTGGGTTGTAAATGGAGACCAGAACATATTTTGCACAAGATAGACGAATAGCTAAGCCCAGGATGATGCAATGACAGAAAGACACAGAAACAAGGAGGGAGAAGGTCCACCTAATGGCCAGCTGGAGTGAGGATACAGAGCTCTCGAGGGAAGGAAGAGGGTCCCTGCCTCACAGGCAAGCCATCTCCTTTGGAGAAATCCCATCTCCCCATGGGCAGTCACTGGCCTGTTCTCCAGAGCTTCAAGACTCTGCAGGATAGATGCTGCTTTTCCCAGGCTCTGCCTGGGACCAGAGAAGGAGCCAACATTCCAGGGGCAGGGGTTCATCCACCTCCAATGAGAAGTCACCACAAATTTAATGACAGGAAAACAGTCTTCAGTGCACTTACTTGGCCAAGATGTGTCTCAGACTGAAACTGATGGGGACGGATGATGGGAGATGGAGAGGGGAGGTTTGGGTTTTTCCAAATTCTTTGTCAGATGATTCCAAGGAGTCACTGGCACTGAATGCTGAGTCAGGAACAGCTGCAGTAATGTGGAACAGACTCTTAGACAGACATGCGGGCAGGATGTTTGACACCAGTGATTTCATCTTGGGGGAAGATGCAAGGGATGGCAGACCTAAGCTGGGCAATTAAGAGGGCCAACTTCAAGTACAAATGAAGGCCAGCTTGAGAACCACCATTCAAGGAGGTCTTTCGCTGTGCTCAAAGAGGCCCTGCAGGAAGGCACCACTATCTATGCTTGCTGCCCACGTCTCCTCTCAATTCCCAAGCCATTTCTGCCTTATCTTCCTTCAGCAGCTTCCTTCCTTACTTCAAACCTACTTATCTTTCATAAAGTGAGACCTTGCACAGATGCACTGCAGAACTTGAACTGAGGACCTGAAACAACCACATCTGGGGGAAGAGAACTGGCAGAAAGTGTCGCCATCTTAAAAGTGAGCACCACACCCATGCACTTCATTCCTCATATACCGTTGGTCTGCTAACTGTTCTCTCTAAGCGATTCTCATCACCTACGTTTCCATTTGCAGCAATTCTTCAAGTACCACACAGCTCTCGGGTGGCTAAGCGTCCCTAGCCTGGCCATTGCATGTGTCAAATACCCCTGACAAAGCGCTGTCTGCAAAACTGACTGAAGCACTGCAAAGGGAAAATAGGATTCAAACTGACCAAGCCCAATGAACCCAAGGAAGGCTTCTTCCTGGGCTGGCTCTGGCTACAACTCTCAACTCCTCTGTAGCTATTTCAAATGAACATTTGTATGTGAGGGGCAGAAAGAGCGGCTGTTCTCTACTGTTGTATTTCAGCTGAAGAAGAGCAGAGGACTGTGGGCCTACACAGGCTAATGCGAATGCCACAGAGGGCAGGAGGGAGGGAGGAGAGGAGGGGAAGAGGGGGCTCTGCTTGATCACTAAGTTTCTCCAATACTCTTAATATGGGCTTTAGCCAACTCTGGGATCAAAAAAATCATTTTAACAAGTCATTTACCAAATAACCAAAAGACTGAATCAATTAGAACTTGATAAAAGTTTAGAAATAACAAAATTTAAAGAAACCTCAGTACCGTCTGCAGTTAATTCTCCCTTAAGCATATGGAGACATTCTTCCTGCAAACCACCTAATCTCAACAGCAGGCAAAGGAAGGATAATAAATAACTAGCGTTCAAAGGTTCAACGCCGTATCAGAAATCGGGGTGCTATCATTTACGTGGCTGCCGCCCACGAGAACTGGCTGCTGTGTCTTGGCCTGAGGCCTCTCCCACGGCTCCGCCTCAGTCTGGGCCCCAACGTCCGCTCTTCACACCTCCGGGAGCTCCCAGCTCTCCGCACTATCTGCCTGGCTGCAAGTACTGATGGGTGAACATGCTGAGTTCACTGTCCAGCCAGCCTGCCTTATTCCTGAAAAGAGAAATCGTCATCGTACAGATTCAATCTGAACACACATAAAGTGCCTACTACATATGTAATGGAGCCACACAAGCAAAAGATGCAAAACCGTTCTTGCTCTCCAGGAATTATCTTCTACTGCAGAGACAGACTTCTATGCATCCATGGGGTAAATACAAGGCAGGGAATGAAGAGGGAGACATCAGAGCAGTACTGGAAGGTTATGTGACCCCCATTTGACACCGGGGATCGGGGGGGGAGAGCAGGGGAGAAGAGGTAGGTGGGTGTGTGTATGTGTGCACACATACATGTGCACATACACATGTGCTCATGCCTGCAGAAGCCAGGGAGATTTTCTCACAGGATACTGCCCCTAGCCAAGCTGTGCTCCTTAGGAAGATAAGGACCGTAGACGGAACAAAAGAGGGAGTGTTTTGACTTGGCCACTCATTCATCTGCTTGTGCCTTTACAGATGAGAAGAAGAAAGTCAGGGAACGTCAAGCAGTCCCGGGGAGCTGGAAATAAGAGCTCATAAAAGTCGTATATGAATGAGCCAAGATGGCAGACCCCCAGCCCTGCAAGACTGAGGGGACCCCCAGCTCAGGAGACAAGGACTGTCTGCTGAAACGGGTCCCTTCTGAGACTGTCATTTGTCGACTCGAGGGGCACTTCATCTTGACTACTGGCTAAAGGGAAGAGAAGGCACTTTAGCAAAGCCAGAGAAATGGAAAGTCTGTCTGATGAAATTCCACAAGGGGAACCAGGAAATGCCAAGGTCCTGGTGGCAGTGGAGTGGTGGAAAGAGGGCTGAACTCCAGAGGCAGAAAGCCACAGTAAAAGTCCCAGCAATCCTCCATAGTAACTTCAGGCCAGTCCTCAGCCCCCCATGGGCCTCGGTTCCCCAATATCTGTGCTGAGTTTTTTCTAAGGTCTTGCCAGCCCTAAATCATCATCACAGTAACACTTAGAATTTGTATAGCGCATGAAGGTCTGCAAGCGCTTCATGTCAATCCTCTTATTTGAAACTCAAGACAACCCTGAGAAGTAGGTGGTGAGACTACGCCCACTTTACAGATAAGGACACTAAGGCTGAGAGAGCCTAATTCTCAGTAATAATGTTCTTATTTCCTTTTTCCCAAATACATTCAAACGCATCTTACTGGATCCTTATAACCCCCTTGTGAGAAGGGCTGGGTAGGTATCAGCCACAATGTACAAATGAAGAAGCCGAGGTGCAGAGCAGTGGGGACTGGCCTGGAGACACTGCTAACTATGCAGAGCTACAGCTAGAACCTGGGCCTCCCGGACCCCACATTCCCTGCTCTTTCACCCACGCTGGCAAGTACCCTGGGACGACACCAGGCCTTCCCGGCTTCCCCTGCAGGTGCGGCGGCTGGCCGCTATGGTGACCAGCAAGTCCGCTGGACGCGTTCGCTCCGGGAGGAGCCGATCCTGCCAGCCGACTTCCCTGTGGCCACCAGCAGCACGCTTACCTGAGGAGCTTGGCTTTGCTCTGCAATGAATCGAGAACCTCGATCTTTTTATTCAGGACAGCAATCTCCTGCTCCAAAGTCTCCCGAGTCACGTCTACTTGTTGACACAGGTGAGCAAAGGTCCCAGACAGTTCCCTGGAGGGAGAGGCTGGGTCATTAGGAAGCACAAACATCTGACCTAAGCAACTGTGAGCACCAAAGGGGCAAGATGGACACCAGAGTCGGGCAGCCAGGTGGCGCAGCGGATAGAGCACCGGCCCTGAAGTCAGGAGGGCCTGAGTTCAAATCTGGCCTCAGACCAAACACCTGACACTTGCTACCCGTGTGACCCTGGACAAGTCACTTAACCCCGATTGCCTCACCAAAAAAAGGCAAAAAGATGGACACCAGAGGACCGGAGCACCTTCAAGTACCAAACGCCAGTGCAGCCAGCACCCAACACACGCTACGTGCTCTGCATCCTCAGCATCTGCACGATGTTTAACTGCCTGACTGAAGTCAGATCTCATCTAAAAGAATCAATCCCATTTAATTTTCCTGCTATGGGAAAAGTCATCGGTAAATTTTTATGCCTGACTCTTCAAAGCTGGAGAGCTCTGAAAGAGAGAGAGCTTTTCCTGACTTTGTTCAGGTCCGCTCAGTGATCTGACCAGAGGCCGTGGTGCTCAAGTCTTGGTGAAGAGTCTGGGGAAGACACTCCCGGGCTCCCCCCTCCCCTGATGCTGGGCCCTCGGGCAGCCCGAGTCATCGGGGTGAGGGGTGCCGGGCCGGCCGGGCCTGGGGCCGGCAGGGGAAGCGACAGCCACTTACTGCTGGACCTGGTGGCTGCAGTTGGAGCCAGTGTAGCTGACGATGAGCTGCAGCTTCTCGCTGGCGTACTCCACAAACTGGCGCTTGAAGGCCCTCTCCTTGGCTCTGGCGGTCCACGTCACGCGCTCATAGACGTAGAGGAGGCCATAGAGCCCCAGGGAAAGGGCGATCAGCCTCCAGCCCACCGCCTTCCAGACCTGCAAAGACCGGACACGGTCAGCGGCCAGGAGCCGAGGCCAGCAGGCAGACAATGGCACCCCTTGGGGTAACAAAGACCTGGAAACAGTGAACGTCCACCGAACGGGGGAGGGTCAGATGGGGCACCAAGACCGGGCTGTAAGGAAGGACGCGTGAGACGAACCCGAAAAAGTACGAACGTGACTGTGTGACCTGACGCAGAGCCGGGAATACAAAGCACGTGACCGGCAGAGCGTGAACGCAGGAAGGACCCCGCCGCCATCAAAAGGGACTCAGAAGCCTCCGTGAGGAGAGAGAGGACAGCAGCTGCTACGCCTCTTGGGGGGTGGAAGAGGCCCCGGCCACTCTGCCTCTCCTCAGACCTCTTAACGCCCTGTCTGCTTTGGTTCACTTTGTCTCTTCTTCCTCTTTAAGCAAATCACTACGATATCGGATAACTCCAGGAGAGGAGCAATACCGGGAGAAATCTAGACAATGTAAAACAAAAGTTAAACAAATATTCTTCTTTTTAAAAGGGAAGTACCAAACTTGATGTCCAAGGATCCAAGCCCTGACTTTGCCATTTCCAGTCTGTGTGACCTTGTGCAAGTCACTCATCTGAGCCAGTTTCTTCATCTATAAAATGAATATAATTGACCATAACACTGTTGGAGAAGGTTCAATGGAATAAAAACTTTGTAGACTAGAAGTATTATCAAGCATCAGTTTTGAAGATTTAATTTTTTTCAATGAATAAAATCAATTTTCTCTCCCCAACTCCATCCCACTCGGAAAAAAAAGAAAAACAAACTGTAACCAGTATGCATCATCTGCCATGTTCTTGAGCTGCCTCTCCGGCCCCAGCTGTCAGAGGGCTGGCCGCAGGGTCCATCGGAGGCTCCCCACCAGGTGGAGGCATGGCCTATGATGCACTGCTGCTCTGCCCCCTTCGAGGCTTCCCCAAAGGCCACATTCATGAAACCACGGCAGGGAGCAGCTGTACGGAGCACTTCATACCATGCCATCAAGCCCTGATCGTTTCCAAAAGGTTTGCACGCCACAACCTCACAGCAATGCCAGGGATGAAGGTAGGGCAGGTGCTGTTATCACTTTCCAATAAGGTGCCAGACCCAAAGATCAGAGGACCTACAGCTCACCCAGTCTAACCCTGATTTTTTTACAGATGAGGAAACTGAGGCAACAAACCGTTAACAAATTCTGTGACATGCCTGAGGTCTTGGTGATTTCACAGAGACCCACACTAGAACTCTGAATGCTGGACTCCTCATGCTAGCGTTGACTACACCCCAAAGTGCTCCACAGAAACATACCTAGTCCGTACAACCTCCTTCTAGGATGATCCCCCTACTGAAATGTGAATGCTCCCTCCCCAGATGTCCTCTCTAACCACTCTTCCTGGGGTGCACTGCCCTGGACAGAGAATGAATGAATGAATGAATGAACAAGCCCTACACAAAACACGTACAACAGAGCGGGAGGAAACGCCAACTGGGGAGAAGAGAAAGGGCAGGCCAGGAACCCCAAAGAACCCACCACTTTTGCATGCCAGTGCCTACTCCTCCCTTTCACCATGCCCCACACCTGTCACCTGGGGAACCTTGCAGGCTACAGCAGAGGACCCCGGTGCTGCCACACAATTTTCTAACTCTGACCAGTCACTTGCGCACCTCTGTGCCCCAGGCCTTGATCACACTGTCAGCACCTCCAGGGTAGGGGCCAGCTGTTGATGAAATGTTTTTACCCCGAACAGGGAGCCCAGTGTCTCACACATGACACACGATTAATAAATGTTTGCTGGAATTTTCTCGGAATGCGCCACACCCACCCCTTACAACTTCCTCCTCCACATCTCTGGGTCACTATGACCACCAATTGAGGTAATGACACCAGCCAGCATCTGCTTCTCAGTTGGACTCTTGCCAGCACACATCAGGCCTGCCTCGGCCACCCTGCCATTAGGAAACCAGGTGACCAAGCTTGGCTCAATTCCATGTTAAACAAGGACTGGAGGGCCTTTGTCATCTCAAGGCCGTTTTTGCTTATTTCTAGATTTCTAGACAGCTGGTGGTACAATGGATAGAACCCTGGGCTGGGGTTAAAAGACCCAAGTTCAAATCCTGCCTCAGATACTTAAGGAAACTCACTCAACCTCTTTTTAAAATTTTTTTTTTTAGGCAATTGGGGTTAAGTGACTTGCCTGGGGTCACACAGCTAGTAAGTGTCAAGTGTTTGGTCTGAGGCTGGATTTGAATTCAGGTCCTCCTGACGTCAGGGCTGGTGCTCTATCCACTGTGCCTAGCGAGGATCAAATAAGATAATGTATGTAAAGTGCTTAGCACAGAGCGTGGCATGGAGTAGACACTATATAAATGCTAGGTATTGTCATTATTATTATTAGATTCACGGATCTACAGGACCATAGAAATAGAGCCAGAAGGGACCTCAGAGGCCTCGTCCAGCCTTTTCATTTTAGAGAGGAGGAAATGGAGACTGAGAGGTAACACAGTTAGAAAGTGGCCTCGGCCACATTTGAACTCGGGTCTTCCTGACACCGAGCCCACTGCTCCATGCACAGAGTCAGCAAACTAACTTCCTGGGAAGGGGTTACAAAGCCAAACCTCTCTCAGTCTGTCTGGGGAAGGGAAAGGTGTTACTAGGCTGAAGAATGCCCATGAGAGTGAGTGATCTTGTCTTCATCTCTGCCTGAGTATTTACCACGTCTGCTGAAGCCATGGACACAAGAGGACGGCCTTGGGACTGAAAGGGCGGCAACAAATGGAGAGCATCCAACACCAAGGAGGAAGGCCAAAGCTACTGCCGCCCCCACCCCTGGCACTTTCAGATAAGAAGGGATTCTTGGGTGTCAGCGACAATCTTAGAGGACCAGATCAGGGCTTGACCTGTCAGCTGAGAATGTGGTTCTGCCGTGAACCACAAAAAGTGAAGGGGCCACGCCTGGCAGGAATGAATGTCTAGGTGAAATCCTACTTAGAGGACACTACTAGGACAAGTGGCTCTGTGCCGTGCGGCCCAGCTGATGGGCTGCTTTGTTGAAGTGGATCCTGAACAGCAAGGAGAGCCCCAACAACGGACCGGGGGCTGCAAGGAGTTTTGAGACCCTCCTGCCCCAGGCCCTGTTCTATAGACGAGAAGCCAGACACAGAGGTGGAAGGGTCTGGCCAGAGTCACCTGCCTCATCCGCTCACCACGAGGGAAAGGCCCTGCCTGGACCTCATCTGCAAGGCATCAGAGGGAAAAGGAGATCCTTTACCATGCCCTTGAGACTAGTCTGCATGCTCAGGATGCCAGCTCATGGACAGCAGGGATGGGGCCAAGCATTAGTTTCATGTGCTGTGTCAGACACGGTAGTGCGCACAGGGAAGGTCTTTGGCCTGCAATGACAGAGGTGGTCTGGTCTGGTCCAAAAAGCACTGGGTTTGGAATCAGAGAAAGAGGCTTTACTTCTCATGCTGCCCTTGTCTGTCAGAGAAGACAAAAAAGACTGCCTCCCTCCCAGGGCTCAATTGAGCAATTCCGCAAACACTTACCAAAGTATTCAGTACTGAAAGGGAATGGCCTAAACACAGAAAGTGAAAGATGAAATCTTCCCTGCCTTCAAGGGGTTAAATTTGGTTTGAGATAATCTGAGGGAAGGAGAAAGCACTGAGCCAGGACATCAGGGAAAGGCCTGGTATTGGAGGCAGCAGCAAGACTGAGCCGCGAAGGAAGCAAAGGATGATGCCAAGAGGTGGAAGTGAGGAGGCAGCACTTTCCGGGTACACGGCAAAGGCCTGGAGAAAGGAGATGACCATCGACTTGAGCCAGCTTGACTGGGCCAAGTACATGAAGGAGTGTGGAAGGGTCAGCTATCACCAGAAACATGAAGGGCTTCGAACACCAAAGGGAGGAATTTGCATTTACTTTATCCTAGAGGCAAGAGGAAGCACTGAAGACTTTGGTGGTGGACTGGAGAAGGGAGAGGCTGAAAGCACAAAGACCAAATAAGAAGAACGCTAAAAACAAGAAACAATTAAAAAAAAAAGAGGCTATTGTGCAGAAATGAAAACAATGCTGAGGTTTCACCTCACACTCTACACAGTGGCCAAAATGCCCAAAGATGGGAATTACTGACACTGAGGGGCTGTGGAAAGACAGTCACCTTGGTGCACTATGGGCCGAGCCGGGCACACAGCCCAAGAAAGCCATCGACAAGAAGCAAGTCCCCACAGGCTAGAAGCATGTCCAATAAGACTGGGGGTGAAACAAGGATGTCCATTATCGCCACTGCTATTCAATATTGTACTGGAAACGTTAGCTTTAGCAATAAGAGAAGAAAAGGAAATTGAAGGCATCAGAATAGGCAAAGAAGAAACAAAGCTATCACTCTTCGCAGATGACGTGATGATATACTTAGAGAATCCTAGAGAATCAAGTAAAAAACTACTTGAAATAATAAACAACTTTAGTAAAGTTGCAGGCTATAACATAAACCCACATAAATCATCAGCATTTCTACATATTACCAACAAAGCTCAACAGCAAGAGATAGAAAGAGAAATCCCATTTAAACTTACTGTAGACATTATAAAATATTTAGGAGTCTACCTCCCGAAACAAACCCAGGAACTCTATGAACACAATTACAAAACACTTTTCACACAAATAAAATCAGATCTAAATAATTGGAAAAACATCAGTTGCTCATGGGTAGGCCAAGCTAATAAAAATGACAATCCTACCTAAGCTAATTTACTTATTCAGTGCCATACCAATCAAACTACCAAAAAATTATTTTATAGAGTTAGAAAAAATAATAACAAGATTCATTTGGAAAAACAAAAGGTCCAGAATCAAAGGAACTAATGAAAAGAAATGCAGGGGAAGGTGGCCTAGCAATTCCAGATCTTAAATTGTATTATAAAGCAGCAATCATCAAAACTGCTTGGTACTGGCTAAGAAATAGGGAGGTGGATCAGTGGAATAGGTTAAATATGCAAGACACAGTAGTCAATGACTATAGTAATCTATTATTTGATAAACCCAAAGACCCCAGCTTCTGGGATAAGAACCCACTCTTTGAAAAAAACTGCTGGGAAAACTGGAAAAGAGTATGGCAGAAACTAGGCATAGACCCAAATCTCACACCATATACCAAAATAAAGTCAAAATGGGTTCATGACTTAGATATAAAGGCTGATACCATAAGTAAACTGGGAGAACAAGGAATAGTTTACCTATCAGATCTATGGAGAACAGAAGAATTCATGACCAAACAGGAGATAGAGAACATTATGAAAAGCAAAATGGATAATTTTGATTACATTAAATTGAAAAGTTTTTGCACAAAGCCAATGCAACTAAGATTAGAAGGAAGGTAGAAAATTGGGAAAGAATTTTTACAACCAGTCTCTCTGATAAAGGCCTCATTTCTAAAATATAGAGAATTAAGACAAATTTATAAGAATACAAGCCATTCCCCAATTGATAAATGGTCAAAGGATATGAACAGACAGTTCTCAGATGAAGAAATTAAAGCCATCTATAGTCATATGAAAAAATGCTCTAAATCGTTATTGATTAGAGAAATGCAAATCAAAACAACTCTGAGGTACCACACCACACCTATCAGATTGGCCAACATGACAAAACAGGAAAATGATAAATGTTGGAGAAGATGTGGGAAAATTGGAACACTAATACATTGTTGGTGGAGTTGTGAAATGATCCAACCATTTTGGAGAACAATTTGGAACTATGCCCAAAGGGCTACAAAAATGTGCATACCCTTTGATCCAGCAATAGCACTTCTAGGGCTATATCCCAAAGAGATCAAACAAATGGGAAAAGGACCCACATGTACAAAAATATTCATAGCAGTTCTTTTTGTGGTAGCAAAGAACTGGAAATTGAGAGGATGCCCATCAATTGGGGAATGGCTGAGCAAGTTGTGGTATATGAATGTAATGGAATACTATTGTGCTATAAGAAATGATGAACAGGCTGACTTCAGAAAAACCTGGAAAGACTTATATGGTCTGATGCTGAGTGAAGTGAGCAGAACCAAAAGGACTTTGTAAACAATAACAACCACGTTATGCAATGACTAAGATTGTTAAACTGAACCCTGTCAGCATTACGAGGATCTAAGACATCTCCAGAGGCCTCAGGATGAAAAATGCTGTTCACATCTAAAGAAAGAACTACGGAAGTTGAATCGCTGTCACTTATTTTTACCTTCTGTTGAGTTTTGTTTCATCTTTCTGATGGATCCTCCTATTGGTTTTAATTTTTACTTACAACTTCACTAATGTGAAAATATGTTTAATAGGAATGTAAATGTAAAACCTATACAGATTGTGCGCCGTCTTGGGGAGGGTGGGGGGGAGAAAGGGGGAGAAAAATTTTCAACTCAAAAGAATGTGAAGTGATTGTTGATAAATCAAAATAAATTAATTTTAAAAAAAACAAGTCCCCAGATACATGAGTCTATTTATAGCACGCCTGGTGCTGTGGCAGCCCACCTCCTGGGGAAAGGCTAAGCACTGCATGGTCCATGAACGTGATGGAAGATGGCTGTGCTCTAAGACACGATGTGGACGGATCCACACAGACTGAAGCTGAGGGCAGGGAATAGAGCCAAGGACACAATCTACCTGGTAAGTACACCAGCGCCCAGAACCACCTCCACCAACGAGAGGATGGAGAAAGCTGTAGAAGAACACAGACAGAACCACCACGACCCCCAGAGATGAGAGAAGAGGACACCTTCCCCACACTCCTGATTCCCACCTCTTTGCAGAAATGGAACACTGCATATCTTTTCAGTCTTTTTGGATGTAAGGATCCATTTTTCTGGGGTTCTTTCTCTTCTTCCTCATTTTCTTTTAAAAAATATTCTTTGCTATATGGGATGGCTCCTCGGCAGGAGATGAGAGGGATACCAGGAGAAAGTCAGGGGACATAAAAACAAAAGGAATCAATAAACATTTTCTAAAAGGGTCTACGGTGTAGTCCAGGAAAAGAGGTAAAATGGGCCTGATCCGGGGCGTGGCTGTGAGAGGAGAGCCGAGGGCAGACCTGTGGCCCCAAGAGAGGATCACATGTGCCGGGGCAGTACAGAGTCTGACTGGACTGGGAGGAAAGTGCAGAAATAAGAGCAAAGAGCCTGGGGTAGTGCTGAGGAAAAGCCAAGGCCCTAAAGAAATGAGTTGTGGTAATGGAAGATCTTGTGGGTATGGAATGATGAGCTGAAGCTTGAGGCAGGGCCTGACCAGCGTCCAGTAGCAGTGCCCATGGTTAAGCTCCCCTCCACCCAATCAGCCACTGCAGCCACAGACGTGAAGGGAGACAAGGACCAGGCTGTGCCTGGCATTCATCGCACTTTCCTTGGCCAGGGCTGAGAGGCTGCTTCATTTCTGCTTGTCTGCCAGAAGAGGGGCCTCAATGGCTCCACTCCACCTCTGAGGGTCTAATTTCTGGCAGGGATTCATTACCAAAGAATTCCAAGGGGCTGTTTGGAAGCCAAACAGCAGCACCTAGAGACCTCCTCTGTAACTGGCTATAACATATGGTCAGTCAGTTGGTCAATAGCAGTGGCCTGAGAGCACTGTCTCTCACTCCCCTCCCACCCCGCACACCCCTCTACTCACCACTCCTCCAACGACAAGAATTCCCATGGAGGTTCTGGAGGTCAGGGAGGCCAGGCCAGTGACCATTGAAACCATGAGCTCTTCCTGGGAGAGAGAGTTCTGAGGCAAGGGAGGCATGCTAGGGTTTGCTGGAGTTAAAGGTATGGGACGCTGAATCTAGACAGAGAGAAAGGAAAAAGGGCACATGACTTCCAATCCCGGTGCCCACACCTCAGTGAAATCCCTCCTAACTCCAGAACGGGCTTCCTGACACTGGTGGAGGGATGGGATGTGTGAGTGTGAATTCAACTGCAAACAAAGACAGGGCAAGAGAAGAGGTTTAAAACGCAGCAGGAAGAACGTGAGCGGGACAACTGGAGGAAGAGTCTGAAGGTCCGGGAGAGAGCAGGACGCTTCAGGATGAGCAGCTAGGGTGGTGCCTGCGTGTGCCAAGGTGGAGCGGGGGGGGTCCTCCTCAGCAGAGGTGCCCGAGTGAGGCCGCAGGACACTTGCTGGACAAGCCACTGAGGGGGGTCTCCCACCTGGCTGGGGCTGAGCTGGCCATCATGTCCCCTGAGGGCCTGACTCAGGCTCCGCGAGCTAAGCGGCGCCCTCACAGCCCCTTCCCAACCGAGGAGCCCCTGCCTGCGGGAAGGTTTCTCACCTGGTCGTTATAGCCCATCAAGGCCCGCCGGCTGTTCTTTGGTCCCAGAAACCTATTCACAAGCATAGTCCAGCCAAGAGAAAAGTGGAACTCAATGTCTTCCTGAAAGTCAGCGCACAGCTTGTCACAGTTCAGGTCGTAACTGAGCGAGAAGCACTGTCGTGGCACCAGCATGTCGATCTGACCCCGCAGGGTGATGGGAAGGAGGGGTCTCAAGCCATCTGGTACAAATCAGAGACGGGAGGAGAAGTCAGAACACACCAAATCAGAGCCCTCTGAGACGGACGCCATGGGAGGTGAACGGCAGCTGCCCCGGCAATGTTAGAGAGCGATGGAAAGAACACCTGAAGTTCTGTGGGCACCACAAGACGCAAGGACTGCTGAGCTAACGCAAAGGCAGGCGTCATTCGATGGCAGATTCTGTGTCAGGTTATCATTCAGTACACTCCCATGCCATTAAATTCGCCTAATACTTCCATTACTATGAGGCAACGAGGGGGCACTTGGAATAAGGAGGTCCTGAGTTCAACTCCTGCCTCAGCCATTAAGGGGGTGACCTGGGCAAATCACTCAACATCTCTCCACAGCAGTTAATAACAGCACCCGTTTTCTAGTTTTGTTGTGATGGTCAAATGGGATAACACACAAAGTGCTTTGCAAGCCTTAAAGTGACAGAGATACACATCAAGATATCTTGGCTATTATTGTTATTTCTACTCAGCCTTTTCATACTTAAGAGCTGTCTTTGTCCACTTGCAGAGGTGGATTCTACCCCAATCACCTTCAGTCACCCCGACAGCCCTCCCCTGAACCTCGCTGGAACCCTCACGGTGGTATGGATGTGCTAGGCCAGGGGGAGATCTGTGTGGGCCCAGTGATGGACCCCGTCTGTCTGACAGATGAGCTAAGATCATTTCCAGGAGGCTGGACAAAGGAAGATTAAATAGCAGACCAAGGAGAAGCCTTAGAATCTGCACCCAGGCTGGTGGGAGGCTGTGTAAACACCATCCTTACGGACAGAGGAGGCTGAGTCAAAGTGATTTGCCCATGTTTATACAACTCTTAATGTGTTTCCATGGCAACAGATGGATCTAGAGCTGGCTATAAACTCAAGGTTTCAAGTCAAGCAATCTTTCTACTATCCTACGACACCTTTTTGTGTGAGGCGACGTTGTTAGTGGAGGCCAAAGAGCCAGCCTTTAGGAGCCCCAAGGCATTAGCAAAGAGGGTCAGCCCCAGGCTTTCATCAGTCAAAGTTAAGCCAAGCTTTCTATCTGTAACATGTGGATCCCTCACTGGGTCATGAGGAAGGTAGCAAAGGTAAAAATGGGCCCGGATTCACAACACGCCCTTTGACTGGAGCTGGCTGCCCTTCTCCCTGGTCTTCGGGGCCCACCAACCTATCATGTCCTGCTGCATGGTCTTCAGGGACCCTGTGATGGCATTGGAGCAACGGTCAGACAGGTTGCGGCCCAGCCCCTCCTCAATGTGGCGATGTAACTCCTAGAGGGAAGATGAAGGATCATTGTGAGAGTCACACAAGTTAATGTATGTCAAGCCCCCAGCAACCGTGAAAGCGCCTACAAATGCTAGCTATTATCATTACTAACAAAGACAACCCTAGAGAGGGAGTTTCTTAATCAAAAACAAAGATGCCTGCAGTCTGGAGAGGCAATTCCTGGGAAGCCACACTCCTCAGAACTTGCTTCAGGGCACATCACCCTCCTAGCCTCCAGACTTCTTAAGAAACTGGACACCGCTTCAGACTTGGGGCCTGAGGGGCTGTCCCAGCAGCTGGGGCTGAGTCACTGGCGGGCATCGAGGGCTCCATGTGCTGGCCACCCTGGTCAGGGGGTTGGGAAACTGTCCACTGTATAATGACTCACATTCTTATAAACCTTGAGCACCACTGGAGAGGGATGAAAGTCCATTTGGTATTCATCTACCAGCAAGAGAGGCGCCTGATCTCTTCAGCCATTGCATTAGACACCTACAGGAAACAAAACCAAACCAAAAGTCTGCTGATGCTGTGCACTATTCCACAACGCCACGAGAGCTCCTGCGGCTGGCCACGCTGGACTGAGCCACGACACCCCACAACTCCACTCAAGAGTCCTAAGGCGAGAGTGACAGAACGAGAGCAGCTAGTCCACCCGCATCTTGGTTTGTAGATGAGAAGAAATGACTTGTCTGAGGTCACAGAGCCAATGAACCTTAAAGCCAGAACCCAGACCCAAGCGGATGACAGCAGAACCTGGCTGGGGGATGAACTAGGTGCCCCAGGCTCTCAGAAACCCCTCAGTCTGGTCACTATGCTTGCGGCTTTGTCCTCTCCCTGCCAACATGGGCTGAAACACCCCAGAGTGTCTAGCATCCATATCAAATGAAAATGGAACTGGGAAATATCTAATTAAATAAAAATAATACCACAAAACATTGATAACATTACATGTTGAAGCTGAGTTAATATGCGGCAGTCGGGGGTCCTTAGTGACCCCATTTCTCTCCGAATTTGACCCCACTGCTCTAAGACATAGTCAGTGCTCACCTGTCTTTCCACCTCCTCAGTGATTTGCTTAATTCGAACTCTGAAGTCTTGAGTTAGGAGTTCTAACTGCTTGTCAATGAATCCCAGCCTGTCCTGTCTCTCTTCTCGTGTTTCCTGGCAGTAAACTCTGGAGAAAGAAGGCATCATGAGCCAGCCTGAGAATTGGGGAGTTCACTGACCTATTCATTTTGAAGAACAAATGAGCAACTCTTCTTAGAATTTACAAGTTTTTATCCTAATTATAAGATATATCAGCCTACTGGACTCTCGAATCCTACATCAAGAACATAAAGACAGAGAAGAAGGAAGGGAACAGGAATTTACTAAGCACCTTCTATGTGCCAGGCACTATGTTAAGACCTTTATAAAAATTATCTCATTTGATCCTCACACCAACCCTGGGAGGTAGATGCAGTTATTATCCCCATTTTACAGTTGAGGAAACTGAAGCAAATAGAAGTTAAGTGACTTACCCAGGGTCACACAGCTAGAAAGAATCTGAGGCTAGGTTTGAACTCATGTCTTCCTGACTCTAGGCCCAGCATTCTACCCACTGTGCCACAAGCTTCCTCAATAGTGGAAAAGCACACCTGCTATTACTGCCTATGTGGCACCAAAGAAATGGTGAGGGTTGGGTGGGCAAGAGTCATAAAAACAGGTTTACAACTAGTCTTCTCAGCTCCTACAGGGTACATTCTTACCCCCCACCATGTGCTGGCCATGCAGCAGGTGTTCAAACAGGCCTTGGGCTGACTCTGTGAGGCATGTTTTTAAAATGGACCACCTCACAACTGCTCAGGCTAGCAGGAATAAGTTCCAAACCCACAAATTAATGATCGACAGGAATTTCAAGAGAAGGTTTGACATGGGGTAGTCAAAGAGCATGGAATCAGGCTCACAAGACTCAGCAGAGTCCCAACTCTCAAAATAACTAGTGACCTTAGGCAAGTCACTTGCTCCAGGGGCCTCAGTTTTCTATAAAATAAGGCAGGTAGACTAGATGATCACTGGCATCTGTTCTACAATGTCTTGCATTTAATAGGTGCTCAATAACAGAGAATTTCACCTCTAAAATTCTATTACTCAATTGACAAAAATAATAAATGATGGAATGGTCAATACTGGAGGGGCTATGGGAAAACTAGTCCACTAATATGCTATAGCTGTGAATTTGTCCACCTAATCTGGAAAACAATTTGGAATAATGCAAGAAAACTGAATAAATATTTGCAGTTTTTGACTCAGCATTCCCACCCATGGGCACATACCACAAGTAAGTCTGAGATAGAAAGGGCTGTCTATATATCAAAACATTCCCAGCAATAATTTATATGGTAGGGAAAAGAACCGAGAAACAGCTGTTGAACAAACTGTAGCATAAACGTGTCATGGAATATCATTCATTGGAACGAACAGTTCAGAGAAGTGTGGGAAGACACAGATGAGCCGACACAGAGCTGGGTAAGCTGGCTCAGGAGAACGAGCGTAGCCACCACAGTAATGGAGACGAGGAGCTGCAATGACCAATCTCGGCCCTGGAGGACCCAGAATGACACGGCCCCCACGCACTGCACGGCCCTCCTCCCTCCAAAGCCACGGGAGCGGGCTTCAGATTTCCTCCCCGTCCTCACCGCTGCTCCTGCGCCGCTACGTGCAGAGAGTCCATGATGAGGCGTGCGTCCTCCACCATCTGCTTGGCCCGCACGGTGTGCTGCTCAAACTTGGTCTTCACGGCTGACTGCGATATGCACTCCTAGGAGAGAAGAGCCCTCTGAGCCACGTGCTGCTGGGGCAGGGGCTGGGGGCAGGGCAGGGCAGGATGGGGAAGGGCTTACCTCGAACCTCCGCTCAAAGTTCTGAAACTCAAACATTCTCACTTGAAAGCCTTCGGCCAGGGCGCCTCCTAGGAGAATTGCCCAGTTTTAGCAGGACAAGGATTGAGCCGCTGGTACAAGTCGCTCACACCCACTACCCCAAATCATTCATGTTGTTCACGGGGGATGGGGAAAGGAAGAAAGCCATCTTCCCTAAGGCTCTTCTCGCCTTCTCCGTTACCAGACTAAATAAGCATCGTTAGATTTCTTGGCTTCCCCATAACTGCACAAACAAACGAGGGCACCATTACCTCCTTCTGGCATCCCCTGAGCTTTCTGGATCCTAGCATTGACCACCTCCTTGGCAGACACGAAGAAGATGCGGTCCCCGGCTTGGGCCCGATCCACCACACCCAGTTCATCCACCAGGAAGCTGGTGCAGCGCTCCATGTGTTGCCTCCGGACCTGCAAGAGGCCCGAGCCCCGGAAAAGTGAGGCCCCTCTCTTCTGATCCAGCCAACCAGCCTGGCCCTGGCTGGGACCAGCATACCCCCACGAGGCAGATACACCCCCAAGAGGGAGGGGACGCTATGGAGTTTGGAAACTACAGGTCTGTCACCTTTTCTGATATTTCTACACATGAGAAAAATGAGAGGGGGTTTATAAACTCGCCCAAAGCCAAAAAGCAATTTACTGCTAACACTGCTCTCTCCTCCCTCCTCAATAACCCATTCCTCAGCAAGCCCTACAGTAAGCAAATAGAGACTTTCTTTTATCTAAACGAAGCAAACCAAGCTCTAATTGTGTCTGCCATTCCCATGAAAGTGTAGTGCTGTACATATCCACAGAAACCTTTGATGGAGAGAGGCAGAGAGTCGAGGGCAGTGTCCCTCATCTATCCTCACTACCTGAGTGATCTTGGACAAGTCCCTCAGAGTCTCTGGGCCTCAGTTTCTTTCTCTGTAAAATGGCAGAGTTGGACTAGATGTCCAACAGTCCCTATCAGTTCCACATGCCATCTGCTCTGACATTCTAGGATGCCAGGTGTAGACCATCTGGGGAAAGGGAGTGGAATGGGTAGCTGCCCTGAACCCTGTGGCTTTCCTGCATTGGCTGGATTCATTCCTCCAATGCCAAGGCAGTCTGAAAGCACTCTGAACATCTTCCGGGAAGTGATGAGTTCGTGCCAGGCAGGGCACCACGCACCTCTTCCATGTACTCTGGCTCTGAGGCAGAGGCATCCCAGCGATTGTTGAGGATGAAGATGTTGGGGCGAGAAAGGCGTTCGCTCACTTTGTGGAAGAACTGCTTCTCCTAAACACAAGGAAGCCCCAGCTCAGGGGAGCCCGCCACCACAGCTGGTCACTGAGTGGGGGTGGGAGTGGGGAAGAGGGAAGGGAGGCGAGGGGGAGGAGGAAGGGGTTACCGTCTGCATCAGGGTGGACTCTGAGTTGGCCACCAATACAAACACGTCTGCATCTAGGCAGAACTTGTCGATCCAGCTGTCCAGTTCTGTAGTGACATCAATCCCGGGGCTAAAGATCACAAGAGGAAAAAAGCAGGTCATCACTGTGCAAAGAGAGCAAAGGGGAAAATCATTTCTTCCCCTACCAAAAGAGGAAGAATTAGAAGATTCTGAATCATCCATGCATATGGAGCATGAGCCTACCGAGCAGGGCAAAATCAGGCTCAGCCTTTAGGATAACAGACTGCAAGTGAAAAATCACTCTTAGGAAATGTTAAAATTCAAGCACTGCACCGCACCTCACTACCACTGAATACTGACAAACCTAGAGGTGTGGTGACACTGAGGAGAACCTGGCAGGCAGGCGGATTTTGGCAAGTCCATTTGGAAAACTGTTCCAAGGGCTATTCTAAGTGACAAGAGGAGTGGCCCGAGCGTGGCTAGTCCACCATGAGTTACAGGACCAGCTCCAGCCTGCTTTGTCTCACTAGTCTTCTCACCACCATGAAGCCCTCATCCCTAGAGGCCACAACCCTGGTGTTTTCACTCACCTGTCCATCAGCACCAAGTCATCTTTCAGAAGAGAACACTTGGAATTGGGCCACATCACACTCACCAGGCTGCCAGCATTCAGGAGCTCATCCTGGTGAAGGGCGTGGGCCAGCTGGTTTACTGTCTGTTGGGAGAAGGGAAAGGAAGATGAGGGAAGATTCAAGAGCTGCCTCCTAAATGATCAACCAGCGGGGTGCAGAGTGAGAGCCCGGCACTCGAGAACGGGGCAGAACGGGCCTCAGGAGCCCCCTAGCCTGGCCAACCAAGCAACGCCTCCAGCGAGTGGGCGCCTCCCACCTCCTACGGCAGCTCCAGCTCTGAGGAAGCGTCTCCTGCCCTCGAGCCTGAGTGTGCCCATCACTCATGTGACGGATTCGGGCCAGGAGCACAGCCTCCTCCTTCCGGCCCACGCCGGCCCTCTATGTCTGTACAGACAGGCGGCACGTGCGTCCCTCCTCATCCGAGGGCATGGCAGAGACACGACAGCCGGTGCCATCCTGGACGCCCCTTCTGGACGCTCTGCCAGTCCAACACTAAGATGTGGCACCCAGAGCTGGACACGATGCCAACTACGACAGGCCCAACAGCATCCCTGCGTCAGACCCTCTGTGCCTCCTTCCCTGCAGAAATGCTCCCTCAGCAGCCCTTCTGTGACACATTCTACAACTGCTCGAGGGACTGAAGTCAAACTCCCTGGGGCCATTCTCTTGCTTCTCTTTTCTGAAGATCAGGACTTAGGCTGCTTCTGCAATCCTGCAACACCTCAAAAATGAACAGGCTGGAAACTCGCTAAGATGTTAAGCCATTAGGCAAGTATAAAGATTCAAGCTGCTGCTCCTCCCACCCTGAGGAGAACCAAGGTGCAAACCCCTGGACAAATGCTCACAGGCATTCTGCGTGACGTGAGAAAAAGATCTCAATGCACTTCATAACCGAAATCATCTGAAATGGCATAGGCTCATCCTTCATAGAAAGAAGGTAAATCAAATGACACGGCCAGGGCCACACAAAGAATCAAGAGTAGGTGTCTAGACTCTCTATGGTGTAACTGCCCTTTCACATTCTGGAGAACAATGTCTGAAAGAGGATTTCATACATTCTTCCCTGGAGGGCAGGAGGAAGGCAAGGAGAGGATGCCTCCTGAGGACTAGGGAGCCCTTCTCCAGATCTGCCCACCAACACAACAGATGTCTATCCCACCCAGGACCCAAGGAGGCCCCCAGGGTGCCAGGGCTCCCTTGGGGGCCCTCGTTACCTTGACGCTCTTCTTCTCCTCAGAGCCCTCGGTGAGCAGGAAGGCCTCTTGGCCGTCTGTCCCCTCCACCCGGAGGAAACAGTTGGTGGTGTGGCCAATCCCGGAGGGGAGGACTTTGTCCCAGAGCATGGCATTGATCACGGTGCTTTTTCCATTGCTTGTCCTGGAAGAGATCAGAGGCCCTCAGCGGCCACCCAGCTAGGACTCAAGCACGAGACTGAGTTGTCCGTAAGTCTGGGAACTGCCGCAAGGGGAGCCCACCAAGGGTGCTTCCAGATCTGAAAGCTCTTTGGGGGCCACAAGTTTCTTCTCTTTGTCAGGCTCAATAATCCTAAATGCTTTCTAGTTTTGTCAAGGGTGGAACCCTAAAAATTTTAAATGATTAAAAACTAAACCTGCTCCCCTTTCTTTTCTTTCAGTTTTCAATGCTGTTCCCTAACACTGATCCCTCTAAAAACGTGCAGCCTCGGGCCACATGCAGAGGGAGGATGAAGAGTTCTCCCACAGCCACTACTGAGAGCTGTACATGTTTTCCACATGTGTGGTGGCTCACAAAGCCCCTTCCTCACAACAGCCCAGTGGGGCTGGCGGTACAAGCATTCTCCCGTTTGGTACACCCCAGGATATTAAGTCATTTTAAAAATAGCTCCCTCTTGCTGACTCATTCAGCCATGGCTTCCACCTCCTTCCACCCTCTCTGTGCCCGGCCCACACCGGAAGCTTTGCCACCACTCACGCTCTCCTTTTCATGGCATTTCACAACAACTTTCTCTTTACTCCAGTGACACCATAACGTATTGCTTTACTGTTATGTGCTTCGTGCATTTATCGGGTAATACTGTATCATGCTGTCATGTGTTGGGTTCTTATTCTCCCAACTAGACAGTTACACTTTCTATATTCTTCTAGCACCTACTGCTCTGGGCTCTGTACAAAGCAGGTGCTTAACAAACATTTATGGAACAGAGTCAAATATCCAAAAATATCCAGTACTATTAACCCGCTATGGCTAGAATGAAGTGAACTGAGGGGCTGAGAGGCTAAATCACTCGCTCCCCCTGCTCCCTAAGGAATGAGAAGCAGAGCTGACATTCTCAGACTGCTCACGTGTGTTCAGTCTGCTGATGAAGCCTGGCTTAGCCTTAACCTCTTTTATTTTAAAAGGGGCTCTCTAGACTCCAAGGCAGAATGAACAAAACAACCCAGTGGGCCTTGGGACCCTCGGATTGAGTTCTGGGCTTGTGTGGACCATCAGGTAAACCAAGGAAAAGGGCTGAGGGCGGCGAGGACTCACCTGCCAAAAAAGGCCACCTTCATGTGCCGCCGGGCCAAGACCTCACTGATGCCCTTCACTTTGGACAGGTAGGCCTTGACCTCCAGCACCTGCTCCTCAGTGGTGACCGGATCAAGCTCGACATTTCTGTGAGTGTCTGTGGGAACAAAATGAAGGCAGAGTCAGACGTGCAGGAGAGGCACTGTGGCTAATGGAAAGACTCTGGAGCCAGAGGAGCTGGGTTCAAATTCTGCCTCTGACTTTTTTAACTGTGAGCCTTTGCTCTTCTCAGCACTACAATGATCCCAGACATCTCCAAAAGACTCGTGATGGAAAATGCTGCCCACCTCTGGAGAAAGAACCACAGAATCTGAAGGCAGACTGAAGCAGACTATTGTCACTTGTGGGGGGTTTTCCCCATGGTTTCCCGTTTTTGTTCTGTTTCTTCTTTCACAACATGACTAACGTGGAAATATGTTTGAGATGATTGCACATGTATATCCTATATCAGATTGCTTGCCATCTTGGGGGGGGGGAGAAAAATTCAGAACTCAAAAACATATTAAAAATAAATGTTGAAAACTATCTTCACACGTAATTGGAATACATAAAATACTATTCACAAAAAACAAGCAAAAAAACAACTTGTGAGCCTCTGGGCAAATCACCCAACCTTCCTGGGCCCCAGTGCTCCGTAAATGAAGCCCAGATGGCCATGGAAATTCTTACTTAGCTCTGGGTCTAGGATCAGTAAAGTTAAGTTTGATAGGATGTTTTTTATTAATAAACGAAACAGGGGCAGGTAGTCAAAACAATTCCAGAAGAAAAACATTAATGATAGCCTCAAGCTATGAAGCACCCTTGAGAAGAGATATAAGCATTCTATGCCTTTATTATCTCATTATTTCTCAGAAGTATGGAAGAAGGAGAGACAGTAAGGATAAGCCCAACTTTCTAGACAGAGAAACTGAGGCAGTGGCAGATACTGGAAAAGAATTGAGGCTTGTCTCGTTCTTAGCAGATTGTAGAACTCAACTCCCAGTTAGCTGCGCTAAGTAAGGGAGGAGAAGTCAGTAAATCTTCAGAACTCCTTCACACACTCTGACATACCATCAGGCTGACACACCCCAGATTCTTTGCACACTCCAAAAGCATCTGAAACATGCTAATTGGCACACATGAAGTAGGTGGCCCTGGCACACGACTCATTGCTAATGCCAAGCAGGCAATGCCAGAAGCTAAAAAGCCAACACCATCTCCCGGCCCATGTGCCCAAGGTCAGATACCTCTCCCTTTTATAGCCATGCGCTTAATGTGACAGCAGTGACTGGAGCCTCTGGAATGTCTGTCTAACTGAAGAGCAGGAGCCCTGCTGGCTGGACACTAGGTGCTGTGTTAAAAACAAACTCACAAAAGCAATGTCCGATGCCATCATGAGTTCCCCATGCTAGTATTAATCCAGGCTAATTGAGAGCACATTCTGGGGTCTGGTGGGCTCTGCTCTTCCTGCCAGCCCTTCCCACTGAGAAAGGTCAGTGCTATCTGATAAGACAAACACCTGGAAGACCCCATCCCTGGAGGCACGGTCCAAACAAAAGCCTTCATCAAATCCACAGTAGTTTATGCCAACAAGCTGGGCCCAGAAGTAAATAACAGGATAGATAATTCTTGGCAAATCACACAGTGTTTTTCAGTAATTTCTTCTCTGTCACAAGACCTCATCTTTTAAAAACCAACACTCCCCTGAGATGCTACATGGCTTTGAATCATGGAAAAAGAGGATTTAAAAATCAAAACTTCAGGTGATCCAAAGGACAAGAAAAAACCAGAGTGGACATGAGCCGGCTACAGCGTGCACCTGACAACTCAAGCACAAACAGGCTTCTACAAGAGACGTCCCTCTGGAGCCAGAGATCACTTTCAAGTCTAGGAATCCTTTCCAAACACTGTCTCGTTTGAGTTTCTTAGTAACCCTGTGAAGTAGGTGCTATTGATAGTACTGTGCCCATTTTACAGATGAGGAAACTGAAGCTCAGAGACATGCCTTTCTCAAGGTAACATGTTTAATAAGGATCAGAGGTGAGATCTGAACCCGAGGTTTTCCTGACTCACAAGCTCAGGCCCTGCTCAGGACTCATGTTGGCTGGGTAACCATGGGAAGCACTTTTATAACTTCTCACTCAGTAGCTTGAGCAATTCTTAAGACTATAAGGTACAAAGGAGTGGCCTCTCCGCACCAGTGGAAGGACTTCCCCCCACTGGAAGTTTCTTACACCAATGAGGCCTGGACAAAACTTCAGACTGACCAGAAGAGGAGGTGGGGCAGACCAGTCATGCAGTGAGCTGGGAGGCTACCCAGAATTCACACGGAACCAGAATAATGAGAGAAAGGCTTCCATTGTGTAAGATGGCTTGCCTGTGCAGCACTCACTGCTGGCTTGGGAGCTGGACTGAGGCGCCCCACGGGTAACATGAGGCTCCCCTGCCAACGTGTGGGCAACAGCCCAGAGCATCTGCTGAGAGCAAAAGAGAGCTCAGAGGTCACCTGTCCGGCCCCGCCTTCCTCTCTTTAAAGATGAAAGGTCACAGAGGTTGTAAACAGCAGTGGCCCTGGACTCTAAGTCCTCTGGTTCTAAATTTAGCCACTGTTCGACTCCATCATCCAATGGAATCATAGAATGGCAAGGCTGAAAACACCCTGGGAGATCCTCTGAGCCTTGCCATTGTGCCTCAGCTGCCTTTCCTAGAACATCCCCCTGCCCAGTTCCTTCTGGGCCAGCCAGCCTTCATTCCCCATCCTGGTTTGCTTCTAATTTTGTCTCCATCTCCCCCAAGCAAAAACCCACCCATTTTCCACTCCCTTCTGAATGTTGTCTTCCCTAGTTAGAAGGTAAGCTCCCTGAGGGCAGGCAATGTCTTTATGCTTGACTGTGTCTCTCCAAGTGCTTAGCTTAGCCTGCCACATAGTAGGTACTTGATAAATGCTAGCTGCCTGCCTGCCAGCCCTTTCATATCACAGGAAATGCAGCTGAAGACAGATCAAATTTAGTCACCGAGCTGCAAGACTTCACAAAGTGAGACCATGCTAACAAGAGAAGACACATGATCCATTCAGAGAAACAGAGACGTGTTTAAACCTTTCTATTGCGTACAGGCCAGGAGGCAGCAGAACCCTGAATCTTGACCTGGCTTCAGATCCGAGCTGTTAGTCACCACCTGAGTGACCCCATTCAGGTAAGGCCACCTCTGCCCACCACACGGGCCTCCTGGGTAAGAGGGGTTAGATTCTGGAGCCTCCAGGAGCCCTTCCAGCTCAAGTCCATGACCCTGATTAACAGCTGCTACAGCAGGGGCAGGGAGACTGAGGGGAGGGGAGAGACGCCCAAAAGGAGTAACTGTCCAAGTTCTCCCTCTCCTCATCAGTCTGGGACCAGAAACTGTCCCCAAATTAGAAGCTGGCCTATAAGATGAAGCGCATTCGTTGGCCAGGCCTAATGCTGGATCTGGACTCAGATGACCTGGGTTTGAATTCCAGGTTATCCACTCACCACCTCTGTGGCCTTATGTGAGTCTCTGGCCTTCAACTGGGTCATCTGCCAAATGAAGGGGCCGGGCTAGGTCCCTCCCAGGTCTTAATCCTAGGATCCCGGGCCATGGTTTCCTAAGGAATCTAAATCCCAGCCAGGGGGATGGGAGGCAGTGACCGAAGCAGCAGCCTCCACCCTCACCAAGCTCTCAGAAACCTTTTTAATGCTGACCATAAGTGTGGGGATGAATCCACAAGACAATGGCACCAAACATCCTGTCAGGACTAAATAAAACGCTCAGAGCGCTACTTACCCTCTAGAAAGGTGGCACTCTCCTGAATGTACGCCCCCAGCTGTTCAAAAATACCATTGATCTTCTTCTTGGCGGTGACAAAGTGCTTGAGTGGAGACGCATTCACCTCGGCCATGTGTCTTTTGTCCTTCTTGATTGAAATGATGGGGTTGGAGTGAGAGAAGATCAGGGACATCGCGCTGTGGAGAAAAGCAGTCGGTGAGGCCGACACGCCACGTGCCCCCACACTCCTGGAAGAGGCCTCAGGGGTCCTCTACTCCGACCCCTCATTTTATAGAGGGGAACCTGGAACCCAAGATGTGAAGTGAATTGTGCAAAGTCCCCCAAGCGGCAAGCGCTAACACGATTTGAACTCACATTCCAGGACTGCCAAGTTTACTTTTCTTTCCACCGTACCACACGGTGCTCTACATCAAATAGCTTCAGGCAGGCTGTTTTTTTTTTCTGGATTGGAGGAAGGAGACCTAAATAACTATTTCCAGAGGCTAGACTCCTCTTTGATCCTTTCCCATAAAGCAGAGAGTAAAATTAGCTTCCAATTGCTTGATCTTAGCCATCATTCAGATGACGCAGAACTAACTCTGAAAAGAACCTGGGAAAGGCAAGGTCAAAAGGATCTGAGCTGAGACCTGAGGAAAGGACCATGGAGATGACCAGATCTCCTACCGGAGACCTAAAATCAATGTGGAGGGACCCTCAGCCTCCTGACTCAGCTGTCAGAACCTCGTGGGGGGCATTCTGAGCAAATCATGAACTCCCTAAGCTTCCAGGAGAGGCTCTGTCAAGTGAGAAAGAGAATAGAGCTACCTTCTCTAATCTGCACGGAGGCGATCTGGTATAAAACCAATAATAAAAGCCTGCCCTCTGGACTGCATTCCTGGCAGCCCGGTGAAGGAGCCCAAGCTTTGCTGTGCACCCAGCCTGGCCAGGCCCATTCAGTCTCCCAGGACACATAACACATCTAGAGGCGGCTCTGCTCAATGTCTGTGCTTGTGACAGACAGCGTGGCCTCCGGCAGCACCTGACACGAAGCTAGCTGATATGCTGAAGAGCAGCAGTAGGAACCAAACCATCACAGAAAGAAACGACGGGCTAAATCCAGTAAGACAGAGCTCAACGGGCCTAAACATAAAGTCGTGTGCTTGGGTTCCAAAGAAACCACCACACAAGCACAGAATGGGGAAGTGTGTCTCCCTTGTTAGGACACCAAAAATGTAATATGGCACCTGAAAAACCCAGTTGGATTCCTGATTGCCCTAAAAGAATCTAGAACCTGGAATGAGAGAGAAGTCAATCACACTGCACTCTGGACCCTGGTCAGACCCTGTCAGACGTACTTGGGGAATGCCAGTTCTGAACATGCGACAGCGACCACCTGGAAACCACCAGAGCAACAATAATGAGGAGGAGGAGGAGAAGAGTCACAAGCATGCCAGTAAAGATTAACTGAAGGGAACACGAGTGGTTAGCCTAAAAAGAAGCCTTACGGAAGAGGAAATCACTATGTTTCAACATTGAAAAGGGCCATCATAAGGCCACAGAAGCAGACGTGCTTTCTTGGCCCCAGAGGACAGAACCAGGGCCAATGGATGGCAGCGATAGGGAGGTGGACTTCAGCTAGACAGAAAGAAAGCTTCCCGACAACTGGAGCCATCCAAAAGGGGAAGAGCTGCCTCAGGAGGTGGATCTGCCCATCGCCAGAATGCTTTGTGCAGGCTGGAGGACCCCTAGCCGGGCACGTGGTGCAGGGAAGCCGGACGCAGGTACGGGAGAGGCCAGGTGACCTGGAGGCCTGATCCAGCTCTAAGATTCTACAGCACTGGAGTCTAGGAACTGCTAGTCATCTATGGCCAACGTGCTAAGTGAGCACTCCGCCCCAGCACAATCCAACTCCAATCTACCTTTGCCAAACTCCCAACAAATACTGCCTGAATTCACAATTTCATCTCCACACTTCTGCACAGGCTGCCCCCAAGGACTGGAACAACTCACTGTCTCACCTTTTCCTCCTAAGAATTCCCAGCGCTCCCCAAGGTTCGTTTGGGCTTCATCCTGTCCTATTCTCTCGGTTTTTAGCACTTTTTCCGCCTTCAAGCTGCCTTGTATTTACTTGTCCATACTGTACTCCCCTAGAATAACAAAGCTGCTGAAAGTGGGAACTCTCCGATTTGCCCATTTCCCTGACACCTAAGCAATGTTATGAATGTGGCAGAGGCAAAAAAAAGGAATCTCTTTCTAAAAGCACTATTATGGTTCAGCTTCAGCCCCAGAAGTTACATTCTTGACTACCCAAATGATGTCGGATGGAAAAAGAAAAGGCAGATCAGATACCCCGGCAAGGATCCCCAAGGGCCAATCAGAACTCAGAATAGGGGGTGAGGGGGACAGGACCTGTTGATAACCACTGCAGACATCTTCAGACAGCATACTCTTTTACCTCTGCTACCCAGCAGGTAAATGCCTCCTTGCCAAGGTTCTCCTGTCTCTGCCAGCTGCTCCACTTCCCCATTCCTGCTCTCAACCTTGCAAGGGATAGGGAAATACAACATGAAGCCACACCCAAAGGGGTGGGGGGCGGTGACTGTAGTATGGACAGCATTGGAGCTGCTCACTAGTATCTGTAAGAAACTCTCTCAGAAGTGGAAAGAACATCTAGGAAGAGTAGATGACAAGAGACTGCCAAAATCAATTCGAAGGAACAGATGGAAAGAGCGAAGCAGAGTGAAGAGATGAGGAAAAACCTCAAGTGAGGCAAGGAGGAAGGCAGCAGACTGGACTCCTGGAGGAGACACGACTGATCCCACTTCACTTACCACTACCGTTTCTTTCCTAGGAGTCTCCTAGGGTTATGGAGCTACTTTCTTTTCCTTGGAAGTCACCCAGAAGACTGAACAAGGAAAAAATCAGCTATATACTGAACAGAGAAAACTGGAAACAATATGAGGCCACACTCTTCCACTTCATAGGGGCCAAAGGTCTGTTGTGTGATCAGACTCCAGAAAGAAGTCCTTAGCCCATAGTAGCTGTACTCACAGCTGTGCAAGGGCTGGGCAGACTATACCCACACTGTAGGAAAAATCAGGCAAACCGGGCAAAAAGCCACACAACTGAGGAAGAAAACAGGCACACATAAAGGATGCTAGAGGTGGATTGTTTTCACAAGGCTGACATCATGAACTCTGCTGGCCTGGAAAAGAAGGGAAGGATCTGGGCATTTCTCACCTTCACAAGCTGCTGTGATGAATCCACCCAGTCCCCAGAACTGTCAGAAAGAAAGGGGGAGCAGTCACCAGGAGGCTTGGGCCGGGACCAGGCCCCTCTAATCAGGTTAGGACACCCAAATTCCAGAGTATCAAAACATATTTCCCTCCCCATCTCCATCAACCCAATACCTGGCCTTGAGGTAAATCCCTGAAGTCAGAGTCTTGTAATAAGACAACTTTCCCTATAAGAACTAAATACTTTTTGCCCAGAAGACAAACTACTTCTGGAAGTAGGTTGCTGAAAACTAGTTGGCATTTATAATGAGGTGCTTTTTAGTGATCTGGTGATTATTTGTGAGACTTAAGGGCTTGAAACGAGAAGCATTAGTATATGGCAAAAGAAAACTAAAAGGCAGATGAGTTACCCAAGGAAATGAAATGAAAGCAGCTCAGTGAAAATGTAAAATTCTTAGATATAAAGGGAGTGAGAAAAAACTTACAACTCCTTAGAGTTTTCATTCCTCAGCAGTGAATGTCCTCACAGTACTCCTAGTTGCTGCCCTCAACTAGTCTTGGAAACACCTGGGATAGGAAGCGTCTCCCTGCTCCCTTGGCTATCTTAGCCAACCCAGTCAAGCCCCTGATCTGCCACAAATTAATTCTCCTTAATCAGGAGAAACATTAATTTCCTCAACTCCCCAATTCCCATGAAATCTAACTGGCTCCATTTGACTGAGCTGCTTGCCCTCTGGGATTTGTAGTTGGTCAAAAAATACTTGTTAAGGACCTACTATGTTCTAGTCACAGTACTAAGGGCTGGAGAGGTAAATAAGAAAAAGACAGTCTCTGTCCTCAAGGGGCTTAACAATATAAGGGGGTGGCAGTGGGGTAGGGGGTGAGAGTGGGTAGGGGTAGGGGTGGGGTAGGGACAATAACAGAAAAGGAAATTGTAGTCAGAGTAATAGCCTAGTAAGCTTATATCCTTGGCAGATATGTCCCATTTTCTTAAGTTAATAATGAACTCTTAGCCTAACCTGAATGCATCACCTAATATTTGGGGCTCAGGATCTCAAGTATGAATTTATTCTACAAAAGGAAGCTAAGAATGTGGCAGAATAAACAAAAGTATACAAAGCTTCCCTTTCTAGCTCTGGAACTCCTCACACTTGCTTCCTCCCACACCACCCCTTCAACTCTTCAGGGAGGACCTGAGAGTTTCCCACTTCCAGGAAGGCTTCAGGCAAGCAGGGCCCTTCCCCTAGGCACATAGCAGATAACAGTCTTATAATTTCAGAAGGTAGAGAATGCCTGGGTGCCATAGATAATATGCTGACTTTGGAGTCAGAAAGACCTGAATTTAAATTCTGCCACTGAAACTTAACTGTGTGACCCTGGGCAAATCATTTCATGTCTATGTGCATCAGGCCACTCTCTAGAGAATACCTACTAAATCATATGGGTCAGATCTGTTCATAATGCTAAGGAATTCCTTAGTACTGTAGACCAAGGGCTGTCACATTGCTTAGAAGATAAAGTTCAGCTGAAGTTGGAAACCACCAACTTCACTTTAAGAAGGCTTTATCAGAACAAACCCAATTCTATGTTCCAATTATCATTAGTATGATCTACTCCCAGGTAATCATCAGGCTAGCTCATACCTGAGTTTAATTGAAGTCAGTTAGGTATCTGGGGATGTAAGAGGGAGAATGAAGCAAAAATCTCTCGTGTGGCTTTGGGTATGAAATGCAATGCCTGAATTCACACCATTTTCTTACCCAATTTTATGCAGAGCAACTTCTAGCAGGAAAAGAGAAAAAAAGGATCCACAGGACCGTCCACCAATGTAACTGATACAGAGAGGGAGAAGCTGAGAAATTAAAACGGAAAAAAAAAAATGAAAAGAATGGAGATGAAGGAGAGTTTTTTCCAGGCAAAGTTAGGAAATGAACAATATGGAAAAGATGAAGAATCACAACACTGGAGAGAAGAGAGAGACCAGGAAAAGAGAGATCTGCCAGAGTATTTTTGATTCCAATGCTTACTTTCCTTATTTCACAACATATTAAATCAGTTCCATTTGGTTGGAGTGAAATAACATTCGGCGGATGCCCTAGATAGCAGAACTAGCTCACAGGACAAAAGGTCTGACCCAACTTGGTTTCCTCTCACAAAG